TTTTTTTTTTTTTTTTTTTTTTTTTTTTTTTTTTTTTTATTATAGCGAAGGAAAATACTTTTATGTATCTCGGGCGGCTTAGATGTTTTGCCTGGTATGTCGGACTCGAACATTAGCTTAATATGACTTGCCAATGTTAATACCGACTAAAAACCTCCGCTATACTCCAGCCTCGTATCCCCATGGAAACCGCCGCTAGGCATTACTTCGTGGGGGGGGAGGACATAGCTACTGCTCTGTCTTCTGGTAGCTAAGATGTTATTTTATCTGCCTTCTAGTTGATGTCATTTGCTCTTTTTCTTTCTATGGAACGCAAATCTACAAGGATTTCTGTTGCAAATGTGCTAACGGCGTTCCAGGCGGCGTTTGATGACACCATTGTTTCGACTACTGTCTCTGGTTGGATCTTCTGGTTCAGACTCGACGCCAATTCCTCTCGTTGATGATAAAACCGTGGGCACTCAAAAACACGTGCTCTGCGCTTTCATTAACTCCTGGGCAGGGCGGACACTCCGGGTATTATCGTGCTTGAACGGTGAAGATAGAGATCTCTCTTCTAAAAAAAAAAAAAAAAAAAAAAAAAAAAAAAAAAAAAAAAAACCTATATATAACAATATTCCAAGTAAGTATTCTTACAGGTTATGATAGGGCGGCTCAGCTTAATAAGAACAAATCAAAGCGATAAAGTAAATAAAAGACCAGCAGCTTCGAAATAATGCCTTGTAACCTCAGCTTAGTGAGGACTTAGACGGAGATATTTGTATAAAAAAAAAAATAATTGTTATACATCTTTGGGTAAATAGCTCGAACTTTGTTTGTAATAGGATTCTAGAAAAAGAAAATATGGTTTTACGTTTAAGTATGGCTTAAATACGTGTTACTTTTCGTCTTCTATCTTGTTTAATTATTCAAAATTTTCAATATATTTTACTGTTATTCTTTAAATTTTTATTTACACATCTATACTTTTTTATTAAACTAAATTTTTCTGCATGCTAAAAGTGTGACTAGCCCTTTTGCAATTCTTCATCTTTTTAAACAGACCATTAATATACATTTAATGACTCTATTCGTGGAGTACTTGTTAAGGAATGTTGTTGTAGGGCAACTAATAGGAGTACTTAAGGCCATACTTTGTTAAATATGCACTTTTTCACGAAATAAATTATTTGCACATTTTTGTGAGTAACACGTTTTTCACAAGCGAAATACGAGTGCATGCTGAAGATGCGCCGATTTGATTTGAGGTGCCACAAACACTGCATTAATTACTAAGTGAGCAATTAACCCAAGCAGCAATGGGATATAGAATTATTTGTATGTGTAGAGCATACGGGATTTTCATATTTTTTACATCTAGCTTCAAGTGTCTTCTGCTTTCTTTTAAAGTGTATTTATAATATAATTAGAGGAGTGTAATTAAAATATCCTATACTTAAAGATCCGTAAAGCCACACAAAACAATAGATTAATTTTTCTTTGCAAACGCTTAGATCGAAGAACTTTCAAAAGTGTAAAACTGTATATCCAAAACTCGGATTCTACTGTTATAACATCAAAACATTTTCAACATAAGCAAAGTTACAAAAGTCAGCATTGTTCCACAAAATGAACCTACCTTACAAGCAATAGTGATCGCTACAGATAAATTATTTGAGACTTATTTGTTCCCCATGTCCAAGGTAATCATCTAAGAGTAGTATGATTTCAGCAGGACGATATAAAAAATCATCCATGGGAATCACCAATTTATTGAGACAAATTTTATGAAAAAATGGACCTGTCC